CCCCAAGAATAGAGAAACGGATATATTTATGAAGAGCTCTGCAAATAGTGACAAATATGGGCAAAAATCCAAGTGTGAAAAAAAAGTTCCAATGTACACCATACTCGGAAGCATGCTCCTAATATAATATTAAGAACAAATAAGATTAATGTGATGAAAAAAAAAAAAAAAAATTGAAATTCTTTAAAATATTTTTGGGTCCTACATACTTGATAATCAACACCTTTTACCATCATTAATCGTATAAATCCAAGTATTAATATTGGTAATGCTTGTCTGACTGCTCTTAATAATTGTCCCTTGAATGGTTTGAACCGATTTTCTGGTTTTTTCAAAAACGGTCGTGCAGCCACGATACCTGATGAAAACACAAAAGAACCAACCCCAAGATCCATCTATTTAAAATATGTTAATATATTTTATATATTTTGAACACAATAATAATATATAATAAATAACGTACAAGTGAAGTTCCGTAAGTTTCTGTCTTTGCTAACCGCCTTGGAAAAATCGGAAAGTCCACCGCCAAAATAGACAAACAAGTTAAAATCATCATACAAGATCTAAATGCGCTCAAGAAAGGTTTCCTCCTAATATCATCAACATTAATCTTCTTTGTACTCGCTCCTGCTAAATTCTTATCATCTAATTTATCTTCATTTACTGATAATTCAATTATTTCTTCTTCATCCGAATCACTTTCCCATCTATTTTTTTTTTTCTTCTTTTCATCACTCGTTGGTTTTATTGATGATGTGTTGATTATCACAAAGGTCAAAATTAATAAGATTACATTTAAGTAAAAAGCAAAGTCTACCAATAAAGTGCACGAGAGAAGACTTGGAATAATGAGAAACATGTATTCTAATAGAAAGTTCGAGATGATATTATTAGAAGCATAGTCGAAAATTTTAGTATATTTGGCCGCTGCCGACCATAAAACAAATGAATTCTGTGATGATTGATAAGTATGAATTATTTAATCGATCACTTGAATTTTTTTAATCAAAAATTAGGTTAACTCTTACCAAAAGAACAAATGATATAAAATATATTTCCCACATGGATCCGCCTTCATGGCCGGTAACCCAATCTTCTTTTGCTTTTTTATATTCAATTTCATCCATGAGTTCTTCCATGTTATTTATGTTATTTGAATAAATTGGTTATTAAAAAAAACCGATTTATGTGGATAAATCAAAAATGTAAATTTATAATTTACGTTTATTATCGTCTGTAGTACAAATATGTATATAATGTGATTTGGTATGCATTACAATAATTATGATTAACTGCAGAACTACAAAACTATATGCGAAATTCTTTATATAACTATAGAAAAAGATGATCACAATGCATATGCTACATAATGAAAGCTTCTCGTAAGTTCATATATTAATTACATAATTAATTTCGGGAGATAACGATATGTTACAATAATTTTATAGATTCTAAATATAGATTGATCAAATTAAGCTTTTGAAAAGTAGTCTTGTAAAAATATTGTTGCCAAATTCTTTAAGCGCTTATTTTCTAATTGAGCCAAGTGCTCCAGGCGTTTTTTAACAGACTCTGACAAAATATCTATATGAAAAATAGGTAACTTTTTTTAAACTTGAAAGAGTTTAATAAACTGATATAAATATTATACCTTCATTTTCTTCATTGTCCGTTAAAAGAAACATCAAAGTTGTAATTGCAGAAAGCATTATCTCTTCATTTTTATCATATAGGCATTGAATTATTAGCGGCACTCCATCATAATTTATTATATGTTCTTTATTTCGTTTCTCTAAAAGAGATTTGGTGATTAATATTAATAATTGGAAATTTAAATTGTAAGGTGGATTGCATGTTAATTATCTTGATTTGGTTTTGGTGAAAATGATATTTTATAACTTGGTTGAATTTACCATTCCAAAAAATGTCGTTTGCATTTTTACCGGTAAAATATTTTATAGATATGCATATATATATTTAAAGGGCTTAATTATCTGGTTAAATAAAAGGACCACACTGTATTAATTATCATAGATTTTACGTAAATTAAAGGATAGAGAATTAAAAAAAAAAAGATGCTTATTATAACTATAATTCTGTTTACGAACGGTTGAGAGGATGTATTATGACAATTTTTTCTACTACGTATCTCAATTTAAGAGCGTTTTTTTTTTTTATGATCAGCGAAAGGAAACACTGAGATCTTAAAAATCGATTAATTTTCGGCTTATCCATTTTCAAATTCACGTATTTCAAAGGTCCATTCCTTAATACGTAGTCATGCGAAGAGTATAAGAGAATTTGAAATCGAATAAGATCTACGCATGTCCAATCAAATTTCATAAGCCACATCATATATATATAAATAGATGTATTACGATACCTTTCAGACAATTTTTATTTCAGTTCGAGAAGGTATATTTAAATGTCTATTATTGTATTATTCGTATGATCTTTTCACGAGAATAATTCTAATAAATAAATGTTTACATTCTAGTAAACAACGAGACGTATACAACTTTCAGCCAATATGTTTCTCTTAACTCGACAAACTCGTATATCTTTGGTGCATCAAATGATTTTACCTTTAACTACAACAAGTATCACTAAAAGTAATTCAATGCTTCTCAATTCTATTGGATTAATTCGCGGAATGAAAGTTAGATCATCTGTGAAAAAATTATGTGATGGTTGTTATACTGTTAGAAGACGTGGAACTGTTTTCGTACTTTGTAAAAAGAATAAAAAACATAAACAAAGGCAAGGTTAAATATATATATATATATAAAGATTATTGGAAATTTTTTCAAGTATGAAAAACTAAATAATGTAATATTGAGTGATGCAATAAGTCTAGATTCATATACTAAATATTTTCTTTACGAAACTTTAAATTGTTATTTTGGTCGATTTCGAATGCCATGTTCATAGGAGATTCATGATCAATTTTGATATACAGTCAGACCTCCCTAAATGCATATTCCCTAATTGTATAGTCTCTCTAAATG